TCTCTATTAATAGAGATATCTTAGTTTTAAATAGAGATATCTTAGTTTTTAATAGAGATATCCTAGTTTTAAATAGAGATATCTTAGTTTTTAATAGAGATATCTCTATTTAAAACTAAGATATCTCTATTAATAGAGATATCTTAGTTAAAACTAAGATATCTCTATTAAAAACTAAGATATCTCTACTGTATTTAAAGCTAAGATATCTCTATTTACGATTAAATGACAACTCGGCTCGCCATATAAATGACACCATAATGTCTGTATTTAGACTAACCATTACCACTAATGGGATAATGAGTTTACCATTGTCTTACATGGTGGTATCCTAAGGTATTCTATCCCTTCTTTCTTGACTGAGCAAACTTGATTATTCATATGTAATGTATGATTAAATTTTAGCTTTTCCTAACAATTTTGTATCTCATTTGGAATCCAGCAAACATTACCCACAGTTTTTAGTATTTTGACTTTTTATTGCTGACTTACACCATGCACTAAACATTATCAGATCCACAAGGTGACTATCCTGAAGGACTGAGCTGGTCACTGTCCTGTATTTATCTTGTAGCCATGAAATATTTTCTTTGGATAAAATATTTTGATCTGGTCTTGGAAACATAAGGTTAAATATTTAAAGTGAGGTGAACAAATAAAAATAGATAAACATATGGATTAGTAGAGGAGGTAGGGTGAGACCAGGAGTAAATTGAACCTAACAAACTGAGGAATCAGAAATACACTATTTAAAAAAAAATAAGAACACACTTTATAAGAACAATGAGGCTGAAAAATTAAGAACAAATTGAGGCTGAGGTAAAATGTCAAATGAGGTTTTTTATTTTAAAAAAACTAGAAAAACCCAAAAATTATATCTCTACCTTATGTGCAGTAGGTGTCACTATGTTCCTCCATAATAAAGTACAGTAGGTGTACCTACCTGCCATCTGGGGCCAATTTTTGTGGGGCCTTTTTTCAGCGGCCATTTTTGCGGGGCCACTTTTACTACATTCTAGTACAATATACATGGCTACTGTTGTACCATAGTAATTTTCTACGTTTGAAAAATGTGTAAAATAAGCACAAAATAAGAACATTTTGTGCCCGAAATCAGCCAAAAAATAAGAACACTGAGCCTGGGCAAAATTTTACTGGTTCTTATAAAAAAAAAAGTGTAGGCATCCAAAAAAGACTACTATAAATTTTAAATAAATAACCATATGAATAATAAATTTATAATTTCATTGCTTTGTCACTCCAATTGGTATGGTACTCATTACATTCTTGTGACCCAGCTGAATTAAAATACACTTTTTTTTAAAAAGAAAAACAATAAAATTTTGCCCAGGCTCAGTGTTCTTATTTTTTGGCCGATTTCAGGCTCAAAATGTTCTTATTTTGTTCTTGGTTTACAGACCTTTTAAACAAAAAATGATTTAATTGTATGACAGTACTGTACTGGATTGTAGACGAAAACGACCCCACAAACAATTTTCCCCATCAGATAGGTACACCTACTGTACTGTATTATAGAGGGTCAGTCACACCTACTCGCATAATGTACAGATATAATATTTTGGTTTTAAAAAATATAAACCTCATTTGAAATTTTACCTCAGCCTCAATTTGTTCTTATTTTGTTCTTAATTTTTAAGCAATTTCGGCCTCTGTGTGTACCAGTAATTGACAGAATATATAATACCTTGTAATAGCTTCTACCAAATTTGTAAAACAATTGATATGAATGTAGGCCTCAGTTTGTATGTGTGTGTGTGTATGTATTTAACAACTTGCTATGAGTAACCTTGCTTCTGTGAATAAAACATACCTGTATGTTTTATAAATGAAAAAGCAACTGAAAAATGTATGTATGTGTGGTGTGTGTGTGTTTGTGAAGGGGGAGTATTTAATCATTGGTTGTCTGACTATTTGATTTAATTTAATCATTGATTTCAAACTATTTGATTTAATTTATTACAATTTTCTATGCCACTGAAGTCTTGGACTCATTGAAGTTAAAACAGCAAACCACTTAAAACCGTGCCAAAACTTTAAATTGTGCATAAAACAATTTAAATCATTTTTGTTCGTAGGGAAAAAAAAATACAAAGCATACAACATGAGCACATGAGTATGGAAGTAAACATTTATGTTTCTAAGGATGATGGTACTGTATAAGTGACAGGAGAATTTTGCAATCCAACACAAAATGTAAACATGGATTGGCCATGGATGAGTTCGATTTTCTTCACATTTTGCAACTCGCAACTCACATTTTGAAACTCGCAACACGCATTTTGCAACTCGCATTTTGCAACTCGCATCTCGCATTTTGCAACTCGCAACTCGCATTTTGACTCACAACTCGCATTTTGCAACTCGCATTTTGCAACTCGCAACTCGCATTTTGCAACTCGCATTTTGCAACTCGCAACTCGCATTTTGCAACTCGCAACTCGCATTTTGTAACTCGCAACTCGCATTTTGTAACTCGTAACTCGCAACTTGCAACTCGCACTGAAGTAACACTCGTATTTGGTAGGTTTGACCACAACCGCGGGAACTCGTTGATGGTGCAGTATTTTCGCACATCAGTATGCGCGTAGTGGTGTTTAAAAATTAGCAAGTCAGTGTATCTTGGGTTTACTCTAGTACTTGCCTGGACTAGTCTTTAAAAAACCATCGTAAAGATGCCCGGTTAACCTTACTGTTTCCTATGTAACTATTCATGGTTCCACTAAATCATCAAGTGCCCACAGCTAACACTGAAATATAACGCCATTTCTACCATCGTAAACAAACGTTTATAAGAAATGCTTGTGTCTACATTGTGTTACTTATTCATTTTAATACTATATACATTGTATTTAAAACCATGTTTCCTTAAACACATGGTAATATTATATACTCTTGATTAAGTGCCTCAACGCTTATTTGAGAGCAGGGCTTAGTTGAGCATCTACGTTAACCCTGTATTATAACAAAATCAATTTTTGCAATTGGGTCATTCCGTCCCAACTCAACAAATTTTCAGAAAATCATGGCTGGGTACCGTCTCAGATTTTCTTGAAACTCAGATATAATGTGCAGCAACATGTCTGACGAACAAACCCAAAATTTGACTTGCCAATTCCAAGTCGTTTAGAAGTTTTTTGACTGTAGAACAGGAATATGACATGACTTTTGGTATACCGGACCCCGTTACGAAAATATTGGTTCGTAAACACCCTAATTTATTTGGTTGTGTAATTTTTCTTCCATTTTTAGACCCCATTAAAATACCCAAATATGCAACAAATTATTAATATATAGTTGGAAATGTTTCACCACAAAAAATTCCGGATTTTTAACTTATCATTTTAGGGAGTAATCGTAGGTCAAAAGGTCATTCGGGACAAAAAATGCCTCATTTTCATGGTGACCTTTGACCCTGTGGGCAAGTACGATGATCAGATGTTCCAAATATCAGCTTGGTGTCTTTATCCCTTCATGTTTAAAAAGCGATTTGAAAAGGGGTATATTTTTCAATTTGCGACAGTATCAGTGCGTAAATGTGATAAAATTAATTTTTGAATAACGATAATATTAAAAACTAGAAATTGCAAATTGCAAGTGAAATGCTGCGAAGTAAAACTGCATAAAATGTTCTTCGAACAAAATTATTTATGCGAGTCAAGTGAAAATAATGAATAATAAAAATATAACAAATAATATGAGAACGACTCATTGTCTATATTAGAACAGCGTTGGTACCGTGTACAATAGTGTTTTGCTGCAGTGACATCTCGCTGCTGGCGACTCGCTGCTGCTGGCGATGACTCGCTGCTGGCGAATCGATCTGCGCATGTGTATAAAATGGTATTTATTTCCAAAAACAGTATGCCAGTCTACAACAAAGGTCGCCTAAATGTAATAATTAGCACGTTGAAATAGGCTAGTAAATAAGTTTAACTGGGTTCGTAAATAATATTGGCCTCAAAATATTGTGGCTGAGACATGAGCCGATTAAACGTAGAAATAGGAAACCTAGAAATATAATAAAAACGCTGAATAGTACTCCAGCGTCGCGATATGCGGACGTTGGTACGAGTAGGTTAGTCTACAAGCGTCGCCTAAAGTAATTGATTTTACCCGGCAGAACGAAAGAAGGAAACTCCGCTTTTCAATTGTCTTAGGCGCAGGTTTTTTGACAAACAATGACCTTTCAGAGGTCAAATTGCTGTCAAGAATATGAATTGGCTGCTTCGCAGCAATAATCTGACTAGACCCTTGAAACTTATAATTCTAAAACAACTTTATGTGCTTATTTCAGGCATGCAGTTCGTTAAGGGATATAGTGTTTCATTAGTAAGATATGTCCCCCCAAAAATGGCCCAAGTACAAGAATTGCGCAATAAAATTGTATTTACTGT